TTACTAATTAGGCAAGAGAAAAACTGTAGGGTTGTTTTTTTGCTGGAATTAAAAGTGGAAAAGTGTGGCCCTGAGTAGGATTTTTGTCTTATGTTTATAATTCTTTCGTTTGTCTACTTTTCTTTTAATGGGGATAGTCTTAAGGTGAATGAGCTACTGGCAGTCCTTGAATTAGGACCACAATTGAGTTTGGAATTTGGATTGTAAGTAGTAGTGGTCATTAAGCAAGTGCCCAGGTGATTTTCTCTCTCTTAGCAACTGTGATCCTGGCTCTGCCAGTGTGGTTATTAAGCAGAGTGGAGTCCCTGGGAGGCCTGGCTTGCACTCTGTTTCAGGTCCAGGCCCCACTGCAATCCCTCCCCCCCCCCGAGCTCGCATGTGGCTTGCACCGGGCCTCTCAGGGATTATACCATCCCCTGAGATACTCCCTAGACAATGGCAGTTAATGGTGGTGCCAAGCCTGGGCCTGAAGTAGAGATCCAGGCCTAGCCCTAGTGCCAATGCTGCCACTCAAAAAGGCTGTCTCATGACACTCCCAGAGAAAGCGGTGGTTCCTATGAAGCCTTCATTCTTAAAGCAGCATCCGAGCATGCTTTTCTGTGGTCTCTGAAGTCTCTGAAAATTGCACAAAAGCACACGCTTTTTGAATCTTCGGGCAGGCACTGTCTTTGTTCAGCATTGTCATAATTTTGAATAACCACTGAATGAATGATTGTAAGTTGAGGGCCACCTGTAATCATATACGTGATCTTAAGTAATAAGTGATTTTAAGACTACATGGAAATAGTTTAGTGGAAGACTTTGTTTTTCACATAGCTTCTCATTCTCAATCTCTAATGCTTTATCTTGCTTTTCCAGCTTGATTTTCAATTTTATTGTTATTGGCTTTACAACATGTTGTCTAAATGTGTTCAAATACAGTTTTACGTTGCTAAATAAAGAGCTACTTACATGCTTCTGATCCATTTGAAAAATATTAAGTATGAAAGTTAGTGCTGATGGTCTCTTTAGTATGTTTTCAGCTATGTTTTAATCTTATCTATTGTGTATAATTCCCTAACATTATTTAGTGCTGATTACATATAAGGTTAATTAGTATTCTGAAGTACTTTTTAAAATCAGCAATGGAACTGAACACTATACTAAAAGAATTCAAAATAGTTTCTATTCATGCTTGGAAAACTATTTTCAAACAGATTCAAACATTGGACATGGCAACTGGTAACAAAAAAGGTTGCATTCTTTAAATTTTAAGAAAAAGGAACCATAATGTTTCCATGCTGACGTGAACCACACGATTAACATTTTATATCATTGTCTTAAATCTGTCTGACTTGACTTGTCTTCAATTAGAATCTGTTCCTTATGAAATAATAGTTTTCTCTGGTGTCATCACTAGTGCCAAAGGAAGTCTTTTGTCATGTTTGATCCTGATATAATTCAGGCACCTAGTTATTTTAAAAATAATGTTAACCACATGTATCCTGAAAAATTTGTGTCCTTATTATGTAGTGACTGACTTAGTTTTAAAAGAATAGACAAATTCACTGTCAACAAATTTTAAGTGGAAGCTGCTCTTAAGCCCTTGGACCAGATGCAGCTTATCAATTGCCATCAACAGGATAACTGTTGCTGTTAGGCTCCTGTTTTGAATTTCTCATAGACAAAAACTTAGCAAGAGATGCAACATTAGATAGATGTCTGGTCTGTTCCAGCAAATCAACTCTTATTTTCTTCATACTCTGTTTGCTTGAGATCTTGGTAAACTGGATTACATATGCTTTTGTCATTTTAGAGTAGCAAGAAGTTTACTTTATAAGCTTGGCTCCTGAGAGGCTCAGGAAATCCTTTCTAATGTCTCCATGGTATTAAAAAAATAGTATATTTTAAAAAAATACCATAGAGACATCCGAAAGTGAAGCTGTTAGCAACATGGTATTAGACTACAAGTTATTCTGAATATTTTTCCCAAATTACAAGTTTTGTTATTTTGAATTCCAAAACATACTTCCCAGTGTTCCTGATATCTTATTTATATGGCATCTAAAATATGCCTCAACTTCCTATTTTCTTCTTTATACAGGTTAATTTAAGGTTTCCTCCACTTGCCCTAATATAATTCCCAGACCTTTTATCTTTGCTCATGTAGCTGGCCAAAATAGATTCATGGCTATGGCCATTTGTGTATAAAATTAGAATATAATATTAATATGTTCTTTTCACTGGATTTTGATTTTAATTCTTTCTATATGAAAGAATAATATTATAAAAAATTGAAATAACTACTAAATTCATGGAGCTTTTCAAATTCAGGTCTGTGAAAAGATTTAATTTCTGTTACTGAAGCTTTGCTAAGCTAAGCAGGTTCTATTTTTTCTTTATTTTTGTCCTTGTATTTTGCTCCCTTAATGTGGATTATATTCTAATTCATTATTAATTACAGGTGGTCCTCAAGTTACGAATGTAATGGAGTCTGTCCATTCCATTCGTAACTCGAGGATTCATAGGAGTAAATGGCATACCTTGAATGCCATCACTCCCTGCTTTCGCCACGCATTCGCTAATCAAATGCATGGGTCATTAAGTGCACACAAGGTATCTCAGGGTGGGGAAGGCCATGGGGGGGCCTAGTGATGGAATAGGCCCCCAGGTCCTCCCCAACCCACTAAGATACCACATGCTTCTGCCTCCCTTTCTGCCATGCCAGACGCACTTACCTTGCAAACATCTGTCTCCTCTGTGCTGCTGTTTCTTTGCCTTTGAGGGAGAGGAGAGTCAGTTAGGAAATGCTTTTCATGCTGAAAATGGAAGTTTCTGGCATCCATGATCTCGCATGAGTTTCAGGCACCCATTCTCTGCAAGAGATCATGGACCTCAGAAACTTCCATTCTCTGCAAAAAGTGTTTGCAGGGCCTGTCTCCTGCTCCTTTCCCCAAAACTCCTTTCGGCCACTGCTGTGGTAGGGATGCTTTCTGCCCACTAAAATCTGCTGCACCCAGGTCTTTTTTGAGGGCAATCCCACTGTTGCGCCTCCACTTTCTTCAGCTCGGAAAGAGCCGGGGCACCCATGCTGCTGGCTGCCAGGGTGGGGCCACCTGAGAGACCATAGTCCCTCCTCCCCAGCCAGCCAGCCCCCACCACCCGGCCTACACCTTGCCTGGCCAGCTGGCCGGCATAAAGCCTTACCGCTCTCCTCCTAATCCTCCTCCTTATCCTCCCTGCTCAAGTGGCGTCAGGCTCCACAGGACAACAGGGTCTCATTCCTCCCCTGGCAGGCTGGACAGGCTGGACTTGGGTGTCAGGGACTGGACCCGCAGTGTCTCCTTGCTCAGTTGAAGGCTTTGTTCCTGCCCTCAAGCAGTAAGGCTGGTGCACGTGAGCGAGTAGTGTACCTGGGCCATGGACAGCATTGGTTCCTGCACCCAGCCGATTCCACGGTGACCCTCTCAGCTCTGGCTATGAGGTGGGTTGACGAAGGAGCTCTGTCCACAACAGATATTAGTGGGCAGGGAGCATTCCTGCCACAGCAGTGGTGGAAAGGAGTTTGGGGGGGAGGAGCTGGAGGCAGGCACCACAAACACTTTTCGCACAGAGAATGAAAGTTTCTGGGATTCATGATTTCGCGCAACTTCAAACATCCATCCTCTTGCAGAGAATTGATGCCTGAACTCACGCAAGATCACAGACGCCAGAAACTTCCATTTTCAGTGCAAAAAGCATTTCTAAGCCAACTCTCCTCTTCCTCAAAGGCAAAGAAACAGTGACAGAGAGGAGACAGTATTAAGTTATAGCTTATTTGTATTTCTTAAAATCTAAAACATGGAGTGACCACAAGATGTCAGTGCAACAGATCCTATCTTAAGCTGATTGTCTTTTTTTCTGATTCTATTTTGAACAGAACATATTCTGTAATCTACAATTGTGCAGTAACTATATATTAAAGATTTAGATATATTGATTTGTGACAAGTATCTTAAACTTTATTAGAAGGTAGTATAAAATATAGTCACTTAAATTAAATAATTATTAATTCAAAAAGTATTGGTATTTCTTTGTTTCAGACATTTGACTTTGGTTGGAGAAGATGTTTTAAAGAATTCTTTTAATCTGTTGATTTTTTATGAATAATAAAGAACGTATTTTGGAGGGAATATTTCATTTGCTGCAAAGTAATACACTATATTTTATCATCTTCCTTTTGGTGCTAGCCAATAGTTTTATAAATATAGCCATCTACAATGCTCTGTATGCCATTTAACATTTAAAATGTTCAGCTACATGTGTAGAAGACCTAAGTCTTATCCTAAAATAAAAGTGTTGAGCTTGTATTTAAATCAGATATCACCTTTCCTTGATTTCAACTTTCACCACACTCAAACCAATTTTAAAAAATCAAGTAGGACATAAACAGTTACAAGAAATATAAAGACCTACTTCAGAGTTTAAAATGTTAGTTATGAAACAATTTTTAATTATGGAGATCATATATTATAAAGAGCTTTTGCAACATTAGGATTAAAAAAACTATTGTACTAAATGTGTGGAATAAAAAAATTAAGCAAAAATATATTCAGACTAATGAAATATATGTAATCACTTTCTAAATAAGGGGATAAAAATATCACCTATTTGCTGGGTAGCTAATATACAGTTACTTTGTTTTAAAGGACAGTGTGAGGTTTTATTCCCATTACAATTCTTTGTAAAATATTATTTTTTTCTACCTATTTATTTAACATATATATCATACCTCTTTTTCTATAAAAAAGCAAAGTAACAAAGTAAAATAGTATCTGTCATTTTTAAAGAGTTTTGCTTGATTTAGGTAGTGAAATACTTTCTGTAACTAAATTAAGATCCTGTTTTATGGATTGCTAGCAGTCCTGCTTTGCAATATACTACGGCATAACATTGCTTACTGTAAAGCTAATAAGGTAAATATATATTTGAGAATGTATCACATATATTGCAATAGGCTCATTCTTGTTGTTTTTCCAAAGGATGAAGAAGAAGAAATAAAGCTGGAGATCAACATGCTGAAAAAATATTCCCATCATAGAAATATTGCAACATACTATGGTGCTTTTATTAAAAAAAGTCCTCCAGGACATGATGACCAACTGTGGGTAAGGACATCTTTCATGAATATGTACATAACTCTTTCTCTTATATTTTGAGAGCATCAGGTTAAATAAACAGGATTAGAATGCAACAAAGTCTTATCAGTTTGCCTACCGACCAAATCGCTCTACGGAGGATGCTATTTCTTCCGTTCTCCATCTGAGCATGAAGCACTTAGAGCAGAACTGCTGACCTGCGGAAACTGTGCCCACCCCCATTGCTGGCAATGGCAAAACTATCCCGATATGTTGTGTGACGTCACGAGTTTGACATGTCTGACTTAGAGGAAAGAAATACTCATGTGTGTTTGTTGTTTGTCAACTTCAGTTGAGCATTTAACACAATCATTCCCCAGCATCTAGTAGACAAACTGGGCCTTTTAGGTTTAAACACTCCTTTGTGCAACTGGATTCTTGATTTTCTTACCAGCAGGCCCCAATATGTACGAGTTGGAACAAATACCTCTAATATCATTTTCTTGAGCACAGGTTCTCCTCAGGGCTGCGTCCTAAGTCCGCTGCTATTCACCCTGTTGACCCATGACTGTTGCGCTAGGTTTGCCACCAACCATATTGTGAAGTTTGCAGATGATACAACAGTAGTGGGCCTTATTCATGATAACAATGTGGATGCTTACCGCAAGGAGATTGAGGGGTTGGTGAACTGGTGTAAGGAAAGCAGCCTAGTTTTAAATACCGGAAAAACCAAAGAGATCATTGTCAATTTCAGAAAAGGCAGGCACAGCCACACTTCTCTGTGCATTAATGATTCACCTGTGGAGATGGTTACCAGCATCAAATTCCTGGGTATGCAGCTAACGAGTAGGCTGGCTTGGTCGCTCAACAGCGAGACATTGGTGAAGCAGGCACAGCAGCGCCTGCATTTTCTGCATCGCATGAGAAAAGCACATCTTCCTTCTCCTATCCTTACCACTTTCTACAGGGGGACGATCGAGAGCATTCTGTCATACAGCATCACAGTCTGGTTTGGAAGCATCACTGTTTCAGACAGGAAGGCGGTGCAGAGAGTGGTGAGGATGGCCGAAAATATCATTGGCAGTTCCATCCCTCCCATCCAGGACATAGCAGAGAAGTGTTGCTTGAGCAGGGTCCATAAGATTATCTGGGACACTACACATCCTCTTCACGACCTGTTTTACTTGTTACCTTTTGGGAGGAGGTTTCGTGGTATCCAAAGCAAAACATCCAGATTCAGCCATAGTTTCCTTCCATATAGCATTAACCTTGTGAACTCTCAAACTTCCTCCTTCCGTTATATATTTAAGATGGACAGTATTTAATATTTATTTGTTATATATATGTAGGGGTGCGGGTCTGTACATATGTTGTATATAGTATGTTTAGGTGTGTGTCATGTATGTATTTCACTGAGAGCGGGCAACTAAATTTCATTTTTGATGTGTGCCGTTGTGCCCACAGTAAAAAAATGACAATAAAGGTTATCTTATCTTATCTTAATATTCTAACCAAGTTAAAAAATAAATTGTACATTTGTATGGCACATTCTTATACATTTTTTGTGACATGATTTATTAATAGCAAATATTTATTTATACCTGTGTTCTCTAGCAGACCAGCAATATGACAGGAATTGTTATCTTTCTATTCTTAATAGAAACACTCTGTTAAGTTAGGGTTAATTCTTTCGGCACAAAGGTTTTAATGAAATTAGTATTATTACAAAACAAAGAACAAAATGCTTTCCAGAGCCAGGTTGTTACATCTTTTTAGACAATCCAATTCTTTACTTAAAATAAGGAGCTATTTATTTACTTCTATTTACTTTGTGCAACAAAAGTAATCATTGCTCAGTGTTGGACATTTTTTTAAAACTTAAAAAAAAGGATTTCTCAGCTGCTTTCTGAGAAACAGCGCTCCATGATATCATGCTGGCCACATGACTGCAGAAATGACTTTGAATAGTGCTGGCTCTATAGGTTTAAATGGAGACGAGCACTGCCCCCTATAGTGAACAATGTCTAGCAGAGAATTTCCAAAGGCAAGATTTTCAATTTTATTGTCTTTTGTAATAGTATATTATTTGTTCATAACAATGTGAAATCTCAGCTGACAGTTCTTTTGTGGGTGTTGGCCTTAATATGCATTGAGTTCTTCCCCCAAACCTAAGAACGTATCATGTGTTGGCATAATATATGTGTGGATCCAAACAGCATGGCCTTTTGTAATTGACAGATAGAAATAATGTGAATGCATATATTTTCTAAGTGGAATCAAAGATTTTTTGGTGTAGCGCTTAATGTGCTGATAGCCACTAAGACCACTACAACTTGTTTATATCATAGTTTTTGACTATTTTTTCAACTATATGTTGCACCAATTTTTAATAACTAGAACAGATGCAGTACCAAATGTGGTGTAAATTGTTTCAATCAAAGGTCTTCATATATAAGCATCTTAGTTTTTAGTAGTATCATACTTTATGATTATCTGTATCATACAGTATACAAGCAAGGTTTGCACATAATGATAAATGAGCAATCATGACACATTATTAACCTTGAAAAGTGTACCTCAGTAGTATTGTTTGGTACCAGTATAACTAGGGACAGTTACCAGAAAAGGATAGGAAAAATTAGTTAATATTGGGTTAGCACTAAAGAAGATGATATTATGGAAGGTTCTTATGACTGGTTTGTCAAGGTAATTATAATTTAGTAGCTGTCCAGCAGAGATGATATACAGACAGTAAGTCAGCAAAACATTTTGAGGTTAGTATCCCTTTAAGACAGGGATGTCAAACTGCCGGCCCGTGGGCCAAATGCGTCATGCTGAAACCGCGCCCACTCCATTGTCAACAATGGGGAAAAAATCACGATACATCGCGACATACCACATGACATTGCGAGTTTGACACCCCTACTTTAAGAGACTCTCTGAGGGAAATGACAGTTGGAATCTTTAGCTCTCTTAAACCGTTTGTACATAACTGACTGCCTTGTATTCTGTATGCTCCCTGAATGTTGTTGTTTCATGTTGTATATTAAACCACAGTTCTTTTGATAAACCACTGTCAGATGTTTGTGATCCTGTGTTGCCACAAGAAGAAAACAAGAAAAAAGCTGCGATAATTTATATTTTTAAACAAACAGATTATGGGCCCAGAATAAAGAAAAAGCCCAGAATTGAAGAAAAGCCCAGAGTGAAGGAAAGCCAAGAGAAAACAAGTGAGAACCTGATCAGAGTCAGAGGAACTGGGCATTGTGGTTTGTAGTTATACAAGGTATCAGTCAACAAAAGGCCTCTGTCAGTGTTATGGGAGGAGACTTTGTGGTATCCCAGCTGAATGAAATAAACTATCTCTCCTGGAGTTTAAAAATGGAAATGTATCTACGAAGAGAGGAGTTGTGAATCATAGTTACTAATCCTCCAACAGAATTGGATGAAGGGGACCAAAGAAAAAGTGAGAAAGTGTTAGCTAACATTATCCTAAGTTTGGAGGATAACCAACTGATACATGTAAGAGGTCTTCAATTTTCAAAAGAATGCTGGGAGGCTTTGCGCAGTGTGTATGTAAGAGAGACTGCAGGCAGCAAAGTAATGTTGACGAGACTGTATAAAGCACAACTTAAATAGGGAGAGAACATGTCAAAGCATTTGCAGGGCATGAGAAAAATATTCCTAGAATTGGAGGAAAGAGGAATGACCTTTAATGAGACACACAAAGTATACGTGATGCTCAGTTCATTGGACAATTCATGGGACATTCTAGTAACAAGTTTAGAATCCATGAATGAACAGGATTTAACCATGAGATATTTAAGTGGCCGGTTACTGGAGGAAGAACAGAAACGGTTGGATAGGCACCAAGAAAAGGGAGGAGAAAATGCTCAAACCAGACCTATGACAGCAACATCAGAGAAAGAAAAAAAAGGAGCTGAGACCGTTTGCATTGTAAAACATTGCTACACGTGTGGTTCTACAGAACATCTCCAAAGACGCTGTCCAGAGAGGAAAAACAGAAGTACAGCAAGACAAGGATATAGAACTATGCAACCAACCAAAGATGGGAGGTTATTTACCCTGGCAGCAACCGAAGAAAAACACGCTCAACAAGTGGCTACTAGACAGTGGGGCAAGCCAGCATGTTGCAGCAAACCCACATGCATTTATTGATTTAAGGCTAACTAACCCGGATTTTGTCAGCCTGGCTAATGGTCAACAGTCAGCAGTTAAAGGGGAAGGAAATGTCTATGTACCTGAACTGGGGGTAACATTGAAAAAAGTGTTATATGTGCCAGACATAGACCATAATTTACTAAGTGTTGCATGTCTAGATAACGAGGGATATGAAGTAATGTTTGCTAATGGGCAATATACTATCAAGAAAGATGGGAGGATTTGTGCACTGGGCATTGGACAGAATGGTTTATACATATTAAAACAGAAAGATGTTTGTGCATGTAATCTGACAAACATACCCACACATAACTGTGTGCATCTAATGCATAGGAGATTAGGTCATGCCAGCTTTAGAGTCCTACAGAAAATGCCAGAAATAGCAGAAGGACTGAAAGTGAAAAACTGTGATATGTACCTAGATTGTGCCATTTGTAAGGAGTCAAAATCTAGGGTTTATCTTGCAAGCAAGAAAAGCTTAAGAAAGACAAACAAAGTTTTACAGTTAGTACACGCTGACTTAATAGATCCTATGGCACCATCTATTGGAGGAGCAAGGTATGCTCTTGTAATCCAGATATGGATTTTGTTATTTACTCAAACACAAAACACAGGTATTGCAACAATTTAAACAATGGGTGACATTTGTGGAACGCAGATATGGCAATAAAGTATGCCAACTGCAGACAGACAGGGGAGCAGAATTTATGTCCGACCATTTTCAAAGTTGGCTTAGGAGTCTAGGTATTAGACACAGATGAACAAACCCATATACACCAGTTGAAAACGGAGTAGCTGAAAGGAGGAATGGTGTATTACAGACAATGAAGGATTCACTACTTCCAGTTGCAGGAATGAGTGGAGAGTACTGGGGAGAAGCTATAAAAAGTCTAACCATTTAATAAATAGATTATGGAGTTCTGCTGTGAACGAAACACCATATGTTTTGTTATACGGTAAGAAACCCTTATTGGCTCACTTAAGAGCTTTTGGTAGTTATGCCTGGGTCCATATTCCTAAGAGCACTAGAAGGAAGGAATAGAAAAAGACCAGAAAACTGAGGTTTATAGGATATGAGCCAGGATCCAAGGGATATAGGTTTACTGATGAAACTCAGAAAGTTGTGATTTCACGTTCTGCCACCTTTGCAGAGAATAGTAATTGGGATAGGGCACATGCCAACACAGAGGTGTTTATTCCATCACATAGTAATAGATCTCAGGGAGGAGAAGCTACAGAAGACCCATCATCAGAGAAAATGGGTATCAGGTCAAAAACTGTAAACATAAAGGAGGAGAGACGTGACATGAAAAGTGAACACACAGAAGTACAGGAACAGGTGTTACCAAGGAGGTCAGAATAAATTAATAAAGGAGTACCTCCTGATAGATACAAGGCAAGTGAGGTTAGAGTATGTAGTGTGCATTATGAATCTCGCAATTACTAAGAAATTATTCCTTACCAAAAACAGAACGAGAAAAATGGAAGGAAACCATGGACAGGGAAATGGAATCTATGGATCAGCATCAAGTGTTCTCGCCCATGAGATTACCAGAAGGAGAAAAGGCCGTGGGATGTAAGTGGGTATATAAAAAGAAGGTGTTACAAAATAATGAACTGCAATACAAGGCAAGACTAGTAGCACAGGGATTCACACAAAGAAAAAAATGTTCATTATGATAAGGTGTTTGCACGAACAGTTAAGAGTGAAAGATCAAGGCTAGCATTAGCTTTAGCTGCTGCACATGATTATGTCATATACCATTATGATATCTCCACTGCATATTTAAATGCTGAATTGGAAGAGCAGATATATATGACACAAGCTCCAGGCTATGAAACAAAAGCAACCTGGATATGTATACAAATTGAAGAAAGTCATCTATGGGTTAAAACAGTCAACAAGGAACTGGAATCAGTGCCTAGACCAGGGGTTCTCAACCTTGGCAACTTTAAGACTTGTGGACTTCAACTCCCAAAGCTGGCTGAGGAATTCTGGGAGTTGAAGTCCACAAGTCTTAAAGTTGCCAAGGTTGAGAACCCCTGGCCTAGACGCTGCTCTAAAGAGATTAGGATTTAGAAGCAGCAGAGCAGATCCCTGCGATATATGAGGGTGCAGAATGCTTGCTGTTGGTATATGTAGATAACATATGTTCAGTTACAAAACATCATTCACAGGCCCACTCTTTTGCCAGACAACTGGAAAAGACGTTTAAATTAAAAAGCCTAGGAGAGATAAAGTACTACCTGGGTGTAGAGATATAAAAACTAAAAAAATGTAGGATTTATAATAAGCCAAACAAAAAAAGATAAAACAGCTATTAGAGAAGCATGACATGCTTGATTGTAACAGTGTATCTACTCCTATGGTTTTAGGCTTCCAGAATAATGTGTAGATGAAAAATGACACAGAATATGATAAAAGAGATATATCAATCAGTGATCAGTAGTTTATTATATTTATCCCAGTGGACACAGCCTGATATAACCAATGCATTTTGAGTAGACACACGTCAGCACCAAAACAACATTGGATGGGGATAAAAAGAGTATTAAGATATTTAAAGGGAACAATGGACCTAGGGTTATGGATAAGAGAGACCATCCAGTAACCTATCAATACAATGCTATGTAGACAGTGACTGGGCAAACTATATGAATGATAGAAAATCAAATACAGGTTTTGTAATATTATTTGCCAGAAATGTAATTGGATGGAAATCTAGAAAACAATCCTCTGTGGCACTTTCAACTGCAGAGGCTGAATTTATAGCATTGGCAGAGGCATGTTCAGAGTTAACTTGGTATGTACAACTACTAAAGGATGTAAATGTTTACATAAAAGGGGCTATACCAGTTTGGGAAGATAATGTTGCATGTATAACAATGGCAACAGGAGAATGCATCGGAAGCCGGAGTAAACACATAGATATCAAATATTGCAATGTAAGTGAGGCAGTAAAGAATAAACTAATAGAGTTAAAGCATTGCTCCTCTGAAAATAATTTGCTGGATATATTAACAAAGCCTTTTAGTTCAGACAAGTATCAAAATTGGGTAAAGGCGTTTGGACTAGCAGCCATTCAGCTCTAAATGGGAGGAGTGTCAAGGTAATTATAATTTAGTAGCTGAGCAACAGAGATGATATACAGAGAGTGAGTCAGCAAAGTATTTTGGGGTTAGTATCCCTTTAAGAGACTGAGAGACAGTTGGAATCTTTAGCTCTCTTGAACTGTTTATACATAACTGACTACCTTGTATTCTGTATGCTCCCTGAATGTTGTTGTTTCATGTTGTATATTAAACCACAGTTCTTTTGATAAACCACTGTCAGATGTTTGTGATCCTGTGTTGTCACAAGAAGAAAACAAGAAAAAGGCTACGATAATTTATATTTTTAAACAAACATGGTTAATTCAGGTTATGCTAGCTAGTTTTCACATTGGGAGGAGCCAAGGCAGAGTAGTTAGGCAGCCAGTTTTTACTTAAGAATTTTTTTATAATATAACCTATAGCCCTGAAGTGCACAACTTAATCTCTGAATGCTATTAGGCTGATATGAAATAAACTTAAAATTGTCACTGAGGTTTAGATTATAATACATATGGTATATTTTTATGGGAACTTATTTTATTTCAGTCAATTCATCCAAATGGATATGTGATATATGGACTGAAGATACTTTGAGCAATTGTTTTGTTCGCAATAGTGGCAAATATCTGTAGCTTGGGTGTAGGATGAGGGTGAAGGTTCATTCTCCAAGCTTGTGGGTTGGTTTCTGAATGTTTTGTTACCAGGCTAGGTAACCTCTTCAGCAGAGTTTAGGGGATGTCAGTGTTCTTCTGTTTATAAGGGCTTCAGATGTGGGTGTATCAAGTGAGGGTCTGTGATGAGTCTTATGATGGGTCAGGTTTAAGTCATCAGTGAGTCTTGTGATGGGGAGGTTATATCAGGTCATGGTCATTGGGAGGTGCACTACTGGTGGGGACTTGCATGGGTTGGTTGAGGGTTGGTACTATCTTTGGTTGGCTGTGAGGTTGATTTGGATTCTGAGGGGTTCGTATGTTCGATATGTCTGTTGATGGAATTGCTTCTGGAATGCCAGGCATCGATGAACTCATGAGCATGGTGGGTAGTAGCATGGCCAATGATTTTTGTGTTGTTCCAATTGAACTGGTGCTGTTTGGTGTCAGTGTGGGTAGACCTTAAGGATTTGGGATCGTGGTGTTTGATTACCAGCCGATGTTTGTGAATCCTGGTTTTTAATTGACGTGATGTTTGTCCTACATAGAATTGGTTACACATAATGATAAATAAATTGCAGGAGATGTACATAATGATAAATTGTTTTGTATTCTGTTTTGTAGCTTGTTATGGAGTTTTGTGGTGCCGGCTCTATTACGGATCTTGTGAAGAATACAAAAGGAAATACTTTGAAAGAGGACTGGATAGCATATATCTCCAGAGAAATTCTCAGGGTAAGAAACATGAAAAATATACTTCTATTTAAATGGTTAAGTTTTAAATTCTGCTTTAACTTTCATCTTATTCTAAATTACTATCTACCCAAAAAAGTAAGCAAGATATATATACTGCACTTCTTATGAAGGAAATACCTTGAAGTTATCGGAACCATTTCTGTTATCAGTTATTATTGACAATAAAAAGGGTTTTTTCTATAACAGAGATTGCAACTATATGAGACTTTATACACATAAATGCACACACACACATAGAATAGAACTTTGCATTCCTGACCAAATAGTATCTTTAATCTGCAAATAACTAGGTAAGGTTATATTCTCCCTTATACAGTGAGAGAAAAAAATATTTGATCCCCTGCTGATTTTGTATGTTTGCCCACTGACAAAAGAAATGATCAGTCTATAATTTTAATGGTAGGCTTATTTTAACAGTGAGAGACAGAAAAAAAAATCTAGAAAAACGCATTTCAAAAAAGTTATAACTTGATTTGCATTTTAATGAGTGAAATAAGTATCTGATCCCCTATCGATCAGCAAGATTTCTGGCTCCCAGGTGTCTTTTATACAGGTAATGAGCTGAGATTACGAGCACTCTCTTAAAAGGAATGTTCCTAATCTCAGCTTGTTACCTGTATAAAAGACACCTGTCCACAGAAGCAATCAATCAATCAGATTCCAAACTTTCCACCATGGCCAAGGCCAAAGAGTTGTCCAAGGATGTCAGGGACAAGATTGTAGACCTACACAAGGCTGGAATGGGCTAAAGACTATCACCAAGCAACTTGGTAAGAAGGTGACAACAATTGGTGCAATTATTCGCAAATGGAAGAAACACAAAATAACTGTCAATCTCCCTCAGTCTGGGGCTCCATGCAAGATCTCACTTTGTGGATTTTTAACGATCATGAGAACTGTGAGAAATCAGCCCACATCTTGTCAGTGATCTCAAGGCAGCTGGGACCATAGTCATCAAGAAAACAATTGGTAACACACTACGCCATGAAGGACTGAAATCCTGCAGTGCCCACAAGGTCCCCCTGTTCAAGAAAGCACATGTACCGGCTCGTCTGACGTTTGCCAATGAACAGCTGAATGATTCAGAGGAGAAATGGGTGAGGTGGGGAATATACAGAGAATATTAATATAAAGAAAGGCGCAAGACAAGGATGTCCTCTATCCCCATTGTTATTCATATTGACTTTGGAAATTTTGAATAGAAACATCAGACAAGACTCAGAAATCAAAGGAATCAAGATAAAAGATGAAAGCTATAAATTACAAGCGTTTGCAGACAACTTGGTATTTATCCTAGAAGAACTGCTGGAGACAATCTTGAAATTATTGAAAAAGATAGAGGAATTTGGAGAAGTAGCATGATTGAATATAAATAGAGCTTGTGTCGTAGCACACGGCTGAGGGATTGCGGGGCTCCACACTTCATGGCTTGTTTTGCCCTGCCAAGGGACCCTAAATGGGTCTAAAGTCGCCCCAGAGAAGCAGCGAAGAAGAAGCCCCCCCCCACAATGATCGTGGAATGATGGTGATCGATCTGTTTGATTTGGGGGAAGCCCTCCAAACCAAAAGGAGAAAGGCTAGCTACACCTCGGTGACTAGCCCAAGCTACCGGCAGCTGAAGTCCAAAAGCACTAACCAGAACAACTGTGAACAGCATGCTTGGAACTAGGTGAGAATATTGATCTTCTCTCTTCTATTTTGTAATTGATTTCCTGGAAAAGATCCCCAAGAAGCAAAAAATCCCCATCCTTCCATAGAAGGAAGCGGCGATTTAATTTTTATAAGGGACAGAAATATATTGAAATGAAGTTAATAATACTACAGTCTGGATAAATCTGAAAATTATGAAAACTCTTAAGATTTCATATCTTAAAGAGTATGGATGAAACTACAAGAAAACAATTCTTTGTTTTAAAAAGTTGGAAAATGAATAGCTACTGACATCTAGTGGAGGATTAGAGCATAGAACAACAGCTGCATTGACTCAGAAATTGGCAAGACACCCAGAAATAAAGAACAACTTGTTCCTTTGAACCTCAGTGACTTCTAGCCAAATAGAGAACAGCTGGGAACAGAGGAAAGAAAACACACTGGGCCACCTACTACAGAGTGAGAACTATACTTGTTTTAAAAACTGCTGACCTTCTAGGATTATAAACACTTACTGAGCTGTGATCTCTAGGCTCAAGAATTGTTTGCAGAGAAAGAAAAACCTTGACTTTTGGCTAATCTTCTGGGGGGAATTTACTGGAAAGCTCTTAGGTGGTTAAACATTCTTGAATTTGGCTGGCTGATCATTGTAAGTGGTACTTTGACAATTGGAAACACGTTGGATTATTAAAAAATTATATATAAAGATAACTATATAAGAGTTGGTTGTTTGGATTTTAAGATTGGCTGGTTTGATAAGGCTAATCACAGAGACTATGGTATAGGTGAAAGACTGTCTGAAGGGGGGAGATAAAATGGATGTTGCATACCTATCTAAAAGTGGCAGGAAACCACACCTAATATTTCCTTCTGAAGGCCCCAGCCTGGAACATCAGAGATTTGCAGGAGCAATACTCCAAGACAAGGCAAATATTGTCCAGGAGGAAATTTGTCGCAATGCTGCGACAAATCCAAATGACAATTGTTTCAAATCATGATTAAAACATAAATAACATAAATAACATAAATAAACACATCTTTAACCTAAACTTACAATTTAAAAACTTTCAGAAAATGACGACAAAGTATGAATGAATGAATGAATGAATGAATGAATGAAGAAGCACATTAAGGACCTGGAGTGGCCTAGCCAGTCTTCAGACCTTACTTCCATAGAAAATCTGTGGAGGGAGCTGAAGGTTCAAGCTGCCAAATGTCATCCTTGAAACCTTAATGCAGTGGTTCTCAACCTGTGGGTCGGGACCCCATTTGGGGTCGATCGACCATTTCACGGGGGTCGCCAAGCAAGGCTGTCCGCCATTTTTTTTGTCCGCCATTTTTTTTGTCCACCATTTTTTCCCCTTTTCCGGCAGGTGCCTTACCTCCCTTGGGCTGGGCCAGCTGGTGGTCGGCCTGCTCTGTCTCTGCCGCTTGCCAGCTACGCCTCGGCCGGCGCAGGGGGCAGAACCATGCATGCACGGTGCTCCCGGGCAGGGAAAGTCCTCGACTTACTGGTTGGGTAGTCCTCAACTTACGACCGGTTTAGTCCTCGACGTACGACCGGTTTAGTCCTCGACTTACAACCAGTTTAGTCCTCGACTTACGACCGGTTGCGGTCGCGGCATTAAAAAGGTTGAGAACCACTGCCTTAATGTCTTGGAGAGGATCTGCAAAGAAGAGTGGGACAAAATCCCTCCTGAGATGTGTGCAAACCTGGTGGCCATCTACAAGAAACGTCTGACCTCTGTGATAGCCAACAAGGGTTTTGCCATCAAGTACTAAGTCATGTTTTGCGAAGGGGTCAAATACTTATTTCACTCATTAAAATGCAAATCAGTTTATAACTTTTTTGAAATGTGTTTTTCTGGATTTTTTTTGTTGTTATTCTGTCTCTCACTGTTAAAATAAACCTACCATTACAATTATAGACTGATCATTTCTTTGTCAGTGGGCAAACGTACAAAATTAGCACTGTATAGAAAAATTTCTCTCTAAGAATACATTACTATAATAGCTTGTGTAGTGTTAATTATTGAATAAAGTTATTATCATTGCTATTTTATATTCTATAATGTCTTGCTATAATGTCTTGTCTTTTTGTACAAGAATCTAATTTTATTAAGTTCTCTTATCAGTCTGATTCAAGTAATTTTTTCTTTTGGCAGAAAATTCATGGTTATTGGTGGTGGTAATATTCCATTCATAAAAAGCAATTGGCTCAAAGTGTATTGCTTATAGGTAGCCCTTATTTCATTGATATAGAAATGAATGAAAAGAAGCAAAGAATTGTCAGGATTTTTATATTTATAAAATATTTATAAATAATATTTTACAGAATTTGTTCCAACCTTATGGATTATTCAGCGTTACAAAATTTATATTAGCATTATCAGTTATAGGTAATATAGCAAATAACTAGGTTTCCTTTCTAATGATACTTTGCTTGTTATGGTATATATTTTTTCTAATCTTGCCAGTAATGTTTCATAAAGATTTGTAGATTGGTTTGTCATCAAGTATGTTCCAGAAATGTTTTAAAAGTTATGATTTATTTATTAATTAATTTATTTATTAATTTAATTTGATGTTGTTATATATATATATATATTAAACAGTGTAAAATTATTCATGGTCCTTTGTAACTTTCCGTATGTTTTATGAGTAATCTGGTTAATAAAACATCATCTACAGTTCCTATTGTTAAACAACATAGAACTAAAAAAGAATAGCAGTAATAACTTAGGAAAAACATGGACTACAGTATGCCATACTGCAAGTCTGAATGTTGCATATTTAAGGGAAAAGAAACTGAATTGTTTCACATGAATTATCTTGCTTTTTTTCCCCAAAAAAATATGCAGGGATTGGCACATCTACATGCCCATCATGTGATTCATCGAGATATTAAAGGACAGAATGTATTGTTAACAGAAAATGCAGAAGTGAAATTAGGTAAGTTAATTAGACTGTTCTTAATGTCCTTCTGGCTTATTATTTCATCTCAATTATTCTTTCATCTAGTAACAGCATAGCTGGAGAGGTATTGAGAAATAGTTAATACTATTCAGGGAAGTTTTAGAGACTGTGAATTTATCATAATTTATTTAGTAATAAAAAAAATTAGTCCTCTAACTGAAAATCAATGTTTAGTTACTTTTTAACATCTCATGTGCTTTTTCTTCTTTTGAATTTTAATATCTTCCCTTTTCTGAGAATACCAAAATTGTTGGATTTGAATATGTTAGGATATCCTTACATTAATGCTTAAGATCCAAGCTATTAGGTACATAAAAAGGTGTTGAAAGGCCCCAACCCTGTAGCCATAATAGAGCAAAATAATTTAAAGATCATCTAGCTCACTCTGCAACTTAAGACATGAGACCTATTATTTTCTATCATGGTTATTAAATAAATCATGTGATTGTTAAGCGTGCATGGCTTCCTCATTGATCTGCATCTCAGAAGCCAGCTTGAAAGGTCACAAACTGTGGTCTTCTGACTACATGGCTTCCTCATTGATATGCATCTTAGAAGCCAGCTTGAAAGGTCACAAACTGTGGTCTTCTGACTGCAGGATTCTGCAACTCTCATAAATGCAATACAGTTGCCAAGCACCTAAATTGCAAACACATGACCATGGCATGGTGCAATGATCATAACTTCAAGAATAGGTTGTAAGTCATTTTTTCAGTGCTGTTGTAACTTTGAACCATGGTTATAAGTCAAGAAGTTCCTGTATTTACAAATAAGTTGTGAGAGAAAGCAGCAATTTCTGCTTGGCTTTCTATATTGAAGATCTTTTGCCCTAATATATATATAATTTTTTTTTGTATTTAAATTTTATTATTTTTCATTTTGCCCTAATATTAATCTAACCCTAAAATTAAAATGGCATCATTGGAAAAGCCATAATGGTTCAGTTTCCTTTGGATAACTGGTTTCCAAGATGATTTGTGGTTGCCAACATTAGTTAGGTCAGTCCACCAGGATTGTGGTATAGTTTTAGCCAGTAGTACAGATTCAAAATCCAAAACGTTGGATTGACCTCCACTTATTATTGAAGTATTTTACTTGGGATGCAGTGAGTAACTGAAGATGCATCTCAGAATTTTTTATTTATTTCTAGGGTAACCTTGCTGTTATATGGTCATAATTTAGCCCCATGTAGCATTTCTGTTTGGGCTTTAGCTGCAAGCAACTTAATTGAACCAGGAATTATGAACCAGGATTATTGAAGATTAAGATGATGGCAGAATGTGTTTGTTGATGGAGATCCAAAAATATTTTGCAGAGGGATTTTTTTTTGATGTTGAGATTGGCTTGTGGACAAGGAGAGTGTCGAGAGGAAGATGGGCATGATAAGTTTGATGAGAGGGTGGAGAAACAGAGAAAAAGAGAAACTGAGAATCTGAGAATTTGAGGAGAGGGGAGATCAGAAAGGAGCAGTTGGAAGTGGATATGGAGGAGATGGAAAGAGAAGATGGCCGATTTATGATTGTGTGGCTCCCTTGGAATCCCCTGGATCCTTCTAGACTCCCCCTGAACTCCCCTGGATCTTACTGGCTTAATTTCTTTGTGCTGCCATCAACTGGAGCTAAACCCTAGTCCAAGAACCTGAGAGTTGGGAGATGCAGCTTTGGGAGATGGCTGGACTGCTTGATAGAGGTGAAGCTGAGAGAGGAGATGAGCTCTCCTGCCTTTGCTGACAGCTGGACCTACTCACATGGATGTGGTGAGTTGTCCCATTTCAGAGAGGGAACCACCATGGAGAGGACCCTTCTTCTTGGTCTTGCTAAATGGACCTGCATTGGCTTTTTTGGCAGCTGCAGCACACTGCTGGCTCATATTCAAGTGATTGTCCACTAGGACTCCAAGATCCCTCTCACATTTACTATTGAGCCAGGTACTACCTGTTCTATACCTATGCATTTGGTTTTTCTTGCCTAAATGTAGAACCTTACTTTTCTCACAATTTTATCTTGTTTGAAAGGGCTCAGTGTTCAAGTCTGTCGAGATACTTGTATCTTGAGCCTATTTTCTGGACTGTTTGGCTACTTCTGCCAGCTTGGTGTCGTCTGCAAATTTGATGAGTTCCCCTTCTGTTCCCTCATCTAAATCATTGATAAGATATTGAAAAGTACTGGGCCTAAGACAGAGCCGGGGTACCCCATTGCGTACTTCCCTCCATGTAAATGCAGTTTCATTAAAGACTACACGTTGAATGCAGTTGGTGAGCCAGTTACGAATCCACCTAGTGGTGGTGCTGTCTAACCCACTTTTTTTCTATTTTACAAAGTAGTGGGTTGTGTATACTTTATCAAATGCCTTACTGAACTCCAAGTAAATTATATCTACAGCATTTTGCTGGTCCACTAATTTTGTAAAATTTGTCTGGCATGATCTGTTTTGGAGAAACCCATGTTGGTTTCTGGTTATGACTTTGTTTGCTTCTAGGTGTTCACAGATTCCTTGCTAGAATTATCTTTTCTAGAATCTTCCCAGCTATTGAGGTCAGGCTGATAGATCTGTAGTTTCTTGGATCTATTTTTCCCCGTTTTTGAAGACGGGAACTACATTAGCTCTTTTCTAGTCATCTGGTAGTTCTCTAGTGCTCCAGGATCTTTGAAAGATATAGTTCAGTGGTTCTGAGATCACATCTGCCAGTTCCTTCAGAACCTTAGGATGGAAGCCATCTAGTTCTGTGATTTGGACTCATCCAGAGTGAATAGATATTCTCTTACCATTTTTTTTGCTTATTTTGACTTGCATTAGTAATATGCATTTTACAGTATTTTTTTATAGGTTGGACTGTTTTTTCTTTTTATGTAAAGACAGATGCAAAAAATGAGTTAAGCAGGCCTGTTTTCTCCCTACTGTTCATCACCTTCATGCCATTTTCTCCCATTAATGGACCAATCATTTCCTTGACTTTTTTCTTGTTTTTATAGGTTGAAATAAGCTTTTTTGTTGTTATTTTTGACTTTTGTCACAAGCCTTAGTTCATTTTGAGCTAAAACTAAAGTTTTCCTGACTTCATCTTTGCTGGTTCAGTCTATTTGCTGATACTCTGCCTTAGTTTTGTGCCCCTCTTTCCACTTTTCACACTTGTCCTTTTTGCCTTTCAGTTTATCAGAAAGTTCTTTATGCAGCCATCCTGGTTTCTTTGGAAATCTCTTATTTTTTTCTTCTTCATTGGAATTGTGCGAGACTTGGTTTTTATAATCTCACTTTTCAAAGTTTCCCAAGCTTCTTGGGTTGTTTTCCCCTTGAAGATTCTCATCCATGGAATCCTTCTCAATCTTTCTCTAAGTTTATTGAAATCAGTTCTTTTGAAGTCCAAGACTCTAGTTTGACTTTTTTTCCTATTGCTTGTGCTTGCATATTGTTGAATTCCAATATTGCTTTGTCACTCATCTCCCCCCAAGGTTCCTGTAACTTCAATGAATTTATGAAATACATTTTCATAGAGGTAGGTAGGTAGGTAGGTAGGTAGGTAGGTAGGTAGGTAGGTAGGTAGATAGATAGATAGATAGATAGATAGATAGATAGATAGATAGATAGATAGATAGATAGATAGATAATCTTGGTCTTGGAATAATTTATTATTAATTTCTCCTCAATATAATAATTCATAAGTGATCTTTTAAGACCAAGGGTCTTTTTTAAGACTGGTGGAAGTCAATGGCAGAATTATTGCTTCATCAGCAGTAATTGATATGTCTGTGGGCTAATTTGGGGAAATGAAATGTAGAGTTACTTAAGTGAAGAACCAATAAGTTTATATAATTAATAAAACTAGAGCCAATGCGCATCCTTGTCTAACTCCCCATCTTACTGGTATGACATGTTTTTGGTTACTGTACCTGACCTTCAATCTTACATTCATGAACTTTAATGAGCAGCAGAAGTAGATGTTCGTCTATTGTAGTGTATTTAAATTTATACCACCATTTAGATACTGTGTCAAAAGTAACCTAAAGATAATAAATGTGGCATAAAGAGTTTTTCTAGATTTGTGAATATACTTCCTAGTTTATTATTACTTTGTCTTTGAGTATGGTATTCTTTCAAACTTTAATACGAAGACTGGGTTTGATAAAAATATCTTACAATGATATGATGAGTTGCAATTAATGGCATTTCATGTGCTTCAATATTTAATTGATTGCTTGGCTTGTATTAATTAGTTATAATTTTACAAGATTCTCCATCTCTTCCATTTGAATATAGTGGATTTTGGTGTTAGTGCTCAGCTGGACAGGACTGTTGGTAGAAGAAATACTTTTATTGGGACGCCTTATTGGATGGCTCCAGAAGTTATTGCCTGCGATGAAAATCCAGATGCAACATATGACTATCGAGTAAGAAAAATGTTAATAAAATAATTGTGTCGTATTTCCTGTACTTTCATCCATTAGTTTTCTAAACAAATGTCTTTATTTCATAAATAATCATTAAGTTTTGTAAGGAAAGCATTATATTTCTTCTTTTGACTAAGGAAGTTTTCTCACTAAATTGGGAGCAAGATAACCCAACATAACCTGGGAAAAAAATCTTAGATCACACCTGATAATCTCAAATATGTAAATAGTTCTGTGTATGAAATTACTCTTGCAGTGTCAAAGCTTGCTGTTTTAGATATCAAATGTTGCCCATTTTTAGCGCTTCTGTTGTAGGAAACAAAAAAGGTTATATTTTTGGATTCAAGGGCCGTCAATCAAGTGATTACTTGATGCCTCCCCTCAAATCATTTTGAGACAAAGAGTCGATGCTCCTTTGTAGGTGTCATCTTCCCACCATATTCATGTTCCTGCAGCCTTTCAAACAGCAGGGAGCCTAAACTGCTACTTGGTTTATGTGTGGGCCTTTGAGTCAGCTTGATTCCTGGTAACTACATAGCAAATTTACACATTTTTCAAAAGTGGTTTGCTCTTGCCTTGTTCCTAGGGCTAAAAAAAGCAACTGGCCGAAAAGAAGTCACTGGTTTCCATGTCTAGGGCAGAATGAGAATTCACAATCAAAATAATAACAATCATTATTTTTAACCACTGGTCCTAACTAGCTGGGTTTTGGAGGAGGTTGTGGTTGTACAGCTGAATCCTGTGGAGTATTCAAACATTAAATTGTAAATATTAAAGACTGTCATGCTAAATTGATTTCTTGTTTTTGAAATTGAGTTTGCTTCTTCAAGACCATTTTTGAAGCATTAAAGAAATATCTGAGCTTTATCACAGGAAACCAGCGGGGGGAAAAGATAACTAAGTACCGTATTTAATGTTTTTGATTCTAGAAAAAGTATTCATCTGGTTGAGGAGCTTGAAATATTTCAGAACCTTGGGGAATATGATCTTACATCAGACTAAATACTATTTTTAAATATATCTTTGTTCCCCAATGGATAATTAATATTTGACTGTGTATGGATGTGGAATAAGAGGGACAGGAGATTAATAACACTGGAGATGATATTAACTGTTTATAACTGAATGGTCTGTCATACAGCATAGGATAAAATATGGAAGTCATTGATATAAAATTGACTTCATTAGTAAAAATGCAAAATGGGATATTTTATTGCGATACCTGTTAGATTTCATAAAAAAACCGTATACTTTGAGACACAGTTGTTTCCAGCTGTTCTTTATATCTGCGTTGACAGATAGTTCCTTTATTTTTTTCCAGTCCTGAAATGCCAATAAGAATAAGACAGATAGAAATTAAATGTGGTCACTCTGACTGAAGGTTATCAATTTTCCTTAATTTAGTTATACTGGTCGGGCATAATAGGAATTGCAGTCCAGGATATTTCAGTGACACTATTTTGAGGAAAGCTGTGTGCAGCCTATTATAAATTTCCATGTTAGTACTAGAGTAAAGAAAAATATTTTCCTTCCTTCCTTCCTTCCTTCCTTCCTTCCTTCCTTCCTTCCTTCCTTCCTTCCTTCCTTCCTTCCTTCCTTCCTTCCTTCCTTCCTTCCTTTTCAATGCTTGCTCCTTACTATTAATTGACTATATTGCCCTTCAAAATGTGTTCTGTTATTGGCTATGACTGCATTGGGGCTAAGATAGTTTGCATTGTTTCAGATCTGATAAACATCTTCAATTTTTTTTAAATAGAATTCATGTTTTAGGAGTTGTTAGTTAAAAACCTAGTAGGCTACTCAACAGTAACATGCCCACATTTTTTAATCTTGTACTCTTAAATTTATTTTTACATTTAGTTTGAAACAAGCAATATATTGGCAAAGATTTATGAGCTTTTTATAGTAGTGTTCTTGAGTGTTTTACAGTACACTTAATGTCCTAGTAGTTTAATTTTATACAATCTTTGCTTTCCTGTTGATGCAACGCCCAACAATTTGGTTTTGATTTCTAAGTAATTGCATATCCAGAACATCAGAAAAACATCTGCTAGAAAAAATATAGTTGAAAGATACAGAATTTACAGAAATGTTGCATCCATAGTTGGAAAAGGGTTATTTTCCCCTCCAGACACACTGGAAATCTACTGTATATGAAAACGTGAATATAAATATTTGCATTATTTACAAAAAAAATGAAATATAATGTTTGAAGTGGAAGAGGCTTCATCTGCAAAGATGCTAGACATTGTCCATAAATTACTTTATTTTTTTATATTTAAATAGGTAAATAACACGTTATTTATTTCTGCAGTCAAATTGTAAAAAAATGAAACTATTTAAAAGCAGTGGGGTTGGGTTTTGTTTTGTTTTTGTAATTTTGATCTTTCCTTTATAATGTATGAGCTATAATTGACTGAGAGAAAAGTGGATAATGTGTTTGCTAACATATAGTCTCCCTCTGTAGAGTGACCTTTGGTCATGTGGCATTACAGCCATTGAGATGGCAGAAGGCGCTCCCCGTAAGTGATATATATATATATTATTTATTTGTATGATTTCAGAAATGCAACCTATTGCATTTACTCTTTGTAAATCTAAATGTACCCTTGGAATATTTGGAAACACAATGATCTTCCCACTCTAAGGCAGAAAATGGACTAAAATGGTCATTCTGAAACTTGAGCTGGCCACGAATAAGGAGTGTATATTGGAGCCGGTGGCCCTTTGATAGCTGATGTATGCCAATTGGTGTACATTCAAAGTGACAATAAAGTTGTTGTTATTGTTGTTGTTGTAATATTAACTACCATAAATAGAAATTATTAGGCAGCTGTGTTAAAGCCTCGTTTTGCAGTGATTGTGCTAAGCCAATAGAAATCAAACAATAGAACAAACCCTGCAGTACAGAATTATTGAATTGATATTGAGTCCATATAAACTTTCTGATGAGGTATTTGATTCTGAGACAGATTCTAAAACTATTACCTCATTATAAGAAGAGAGCTGTGCTGGTCTGTGGGGGCAAAAGATGGGGAATCTGGTAGCACCTTTTCCAAGTAACACATTTTATTTAAAAACATGAACTTTCACTTCAGTCCAATCAAATGCATGGAATGTCTGGACTGATGTAGAATTTAAAATGGGTAAAGGATGGGGGAGGGGAATGGGAGGATAGGTTGGTTATACAGATGTATATTTCATGTGGGAGAGGTTACAGTTATCAATTAACAATTGTGTTTAAAAAAACAGAGTGGGAAGTTGAGACCTTGTGAGATTGCCTGAAATGTTTTATGAATGTCAGTTCAACACTGATTAATGATCAACATTGTTTGATGATCCTGTTCATCTGATGATAGCAGCTTATGGCTTTGAATAAAATTTGTTTTCAGAAAAGGTGCTATTAGATCCCTGTTTATGTTATTAGCAGACTTAATGTTTAGTGCTTATAGAATGTCACAGAGCTTATTGCACATGACAAATCCCTTATATACTGTTTTGCAAAGGAAATGAGTGTTTGGTCTCTAATTTCCAGGGTCTATGTGAAGAGGTAATTTTATAGCTCAGAGGCATTTTATAGAACAGATGGTTCCTCTGAAATCACAGCATCTCAGCATAAATACGATTCTATCCTCTCTTTAATCTACAATTGTCAGGACTATCTAATCTTTTATAATCTTTTGTTCTTGTCGTAATCCCATCATTGCTTAGTTTACAATGTTAAATATATGTAGATATAATTCAATAATATGATAGAGCTGAAAAATCAACTATGCAACTTTTTTATTTCTTTTTTAGCCCTTTGTGATATGCATCCAATGAGAGCCCTGTTTCTTATTCCCAGAAATCCACCTCCACGGCTAAAGTCCAAGAAATGGTATGTAGGCTTTGTTGATGTGGTTGCTTTTTGTCTGATTTTGCCATAGCAGTTTCATTCACAAGACAGAGCTTTCTTTACATTGATCTAAAAAATAATTTAAGGGGACACAATGGCTCAGCGGTTAAAGACGCTGAACTTGTCAGCTAGAAAGCTGACAGCCCGGATTTGAGACCTGAGCACCATGTGACAGGGCTAGCTCCCTTTACTTGCCCGAGCTCCTGCCCACTTAGCAGTTTGAAAACATGCAAATGCGAGTAGATAAATAGGTACCATTTCATTGAGAAGGCAACAATGTTCCATGCACCTTGGCATATAGTCATGCTGGCCACATGACCACAGAAATGTCCTCAGACAACATTCCTTCAGCTAAGAAACAGAGATGAGCACCGCCTCATAGAGTGAGACATAACTGGACAGGGGAAACCTTTACCTTTACAAAAAGTAATTTACAGGGAGATAAAAATAAGAGTTGTATGCTACTGAATCTGAGCACTTTAGGCCTCCATTCTCTGAGAACGCACTGAAGGCCTGGAGCAGCCAAGAAACTGAAGGATCTCGATCTTTGCATGGTGAGTATTGAAGGCCTGGTGCATAGGGAGACCCGGGTAGGGGTGGGGAGGAAGGGAATAATCAGAGTGAATGTTGCAGAGCCACTGCGGTCGCTCGTAAGGGCGAATGGCTGTCGTGATGCTGCAATATTCGTAACTTCAGGACTTGCTCATAAGCACTAGGGGCGCTCATCATGTAACTTTGAATGAGCGTTAAGTGAACGCTCGTAACTCGGGAATTACCTGTATTTCATTTAAAGCAGAGCAGCTTTGTGTCTAGAATTGTTTGTGTTTAATTGTTGAAGTTATTACCAGTCCACAAGTCATTTCTCTTCCTTTGGGATTAATATTTTATTAATATGTTGCTTCTGTTATTAAATATCAATTCCACTTAGTGTTCTGGATCCCCCCAAATTTGCTTGTGCCCAATAAGAAACATGGTACATGTGTATAAGAATGTGGCATATTGTCTGGCTTGCATTAAAATATATAGTACTTGATTTGCATGCTGAGATTACCATGCCCACAGAGAAAGCGATCCTTTAAAGAAAAAGGCACCTAGGAAAGCTTTTTTTTAAAATATTCTGCATTTAAATGTTCATTTTTCTTGCAAATCATTGTACGTTACTGAAAATGTGCTCATGACTTAGAATGCTTGTAAAGGACATTAACCAATTCACAGGAATAGATATGTAATTAATAGTGACTATGCTACCTCATTAGAACTTTAGTATTCAAGGCCACAATGCATCAATTCCTTGGGTTGAGAAGGATAACAAGATAAGGTTGTCTTTGCTCACAAAAGACAGCTATCTGGCTACTATTAAAATGTATGTGGGATTACATGGTCTGTGGATCCGAAACAGACAGGTTCATTTTATAGCCCATACTATTCATTTTTAGAATCCAAGTCTTATTAACTTGTAAAGCCGGCATAGAATCCAACATCACAAAATCCTGCCCATTTCCATTAAACCAATCATTAATTGCTTTCGCTTGTTTTCATACAGTGAAAATCTTAATTGTGTACTGAATCTGAGCATATATATTCCTAAATGGAAATGCAGATAGACGTTTTCAGCCACTCACTCAGACACACAAAACACACACAGAGACAGACAGACAACAGATACTTGTCTTTTGCATTCTTCCAGAATCACACAACAGGGCAAGTTATATTAGATGGAGAAAGAAAGAATGGTTGGTCCAAAGTATGCTGCAGTAACTTTCATTTATAATGATCAAAACAAAATTATTATTAAATAGTGCCATGCTAACATATAGTTTATTTATTCATTATAATATCTTAATAGAAATTCTGTTAATTTTTAATCTAAAATCTGGTAAACAATGTCACTGATTTTTAGCTTGAATATTGCTTTGTTAAAATGTGTGAGGCTTTCACTATCATAATTAAAATGAGATTCTCACTGGGAAATTAAACCCAGAATTGTTGATGAAACTTAACCTTGACAACAAGTAGTGTTTGCTCATTTTTAAATCTTATATTAAAAATAGTATGAATTAATTTGAAGACTGAAATGAAAACCAAGTTCACTATAAATTTAGATGCATCTTTTTCTTTAAGACTACTGTATGAGTAGCATGTTTAATCAATTTAAGCAGAGTTGAAAGGCTGGTAATATTCTAGTCAAGCACTCTAGCTTAATGCAGAAAATGTTAATCCTTTCAAAGGAATTGTACTTAACTATTGTGCTGCTCTTTAACCCAAGCAAACACTAGTTCATTAGTAAACAAACACTATTTGCAGTAACCATCATATAGTAATGACTTTATATACATGTACTGGTAGTCCTCAACTTATAACAGTTCATTTAGTGATCATTCAAAGTTGCAATGGCACTAAAAAAAGTGACTTATGGCCATTTTTCACATGACCATTACAGCATCCCCATAGTCATGTGATCAAAATTCAGACGTGTGACAACTGACTCCTATTTATGAGTCCCAGGGGTCATGTGATCCACTTTTACAATCTTTTTACAAGCAAAATCAATGGGGAAGCCAGATTCACTTAAGAACCATGTTAGTAACTTAAGAGCTGCAGTCACTTAACAACAGTAGCAAGAAAGGTCACAAAATGGGGCAAAATACTCTTAATAACTGTTTCACTTAGTAGCAGAAATTTTGGGCTCAATTGAGAACTGCTTACCTAGAATGAGTTGTAAAGTAACATAATTTATACAGTAAAATACAGACACAATGTAAACAGTATAGTTGGACTAATACAATATTCCTTCTGACAGAGAGCTGATTTTTCCAATATTTGGAACATAAATTCATTTGGTGCATATATATTGCTTGAACACATTCTGACATTTAGCCTGTGTAATTTTTAAGTTAACTCTAGTTGCCATGTCGACACACACACACACACACACACACACATAAACATACATGACTATTTTACTCACAAAATTAATTCACTCTGTAATAACATCACAGGTTCTTTTTAGATTGACCCAGACTTGACGGAGGTCCAATTTTGCTAAGCTGCCTGTTTTTCCACAAATATTTTTTTCGTTCAGTAATGTGAGAGAAATATCTCCAAAGATTTGTCAAAAGAAGTGGTTTTCAACATAATTAAGATTACCCTCTCTTGACATCTTACATTCAGATTTCTTTGTAGATTATAAGCAAGTTATCTGAGTCCCAGCATGTGGACTGTAGTGCTGGTTATTCTAAACTTTGTAAATGTTACATTTAAATATAGTTTTAGCACATGAAGGATTCTTAACTGATAAATCCATACTTTCCCAAATAACTGATATATATATATGATTTATTTTTGCTCAGGTCAAAGAAGTTCTTTAGTTTTATAGAAGGCTGTTTAGTAAAAAATTATATGCAGCGACCTTCTACAGAGCAGTTGTTAAAACATCCATTTATACGTGATCAACCAAATGAACGACAAGTTAGAATCCAGCTTAAAGATCATATAGACAGAACCAGGAAGAAGAGAGGAGAGAAAGGTATGTTTTATTTTTGAAAGTAGAACCACATTTCTGTATACATAGAATATAAGTCTATGTTAATTATATACTAATTATTTAAACAATAAAGATAGCAGTTCTTTTACAACATACATTGGAACAAAAGAGAGACAGAAAGGAAATCAGAAAGAAAAAAGTAAAAGTTAAGCCAGAATTTGCAAATTCAAAAGAATTTTTCTGCAGTGTGAACTTATCAAACAGTACAATGGGTACTATATAATAGACTAATTATACACCATCAAAGATAAACTGTATGTGTGAAACTGTATACAATGTATAGATAGTTATTTCTGATAAATGGTTTTTCCACCCAGCTTCACTTCTAGCACTGTGGCAAACTATTTTGGAAACAGAAAAGGAATTGTGAAAACTATTTGGCGTGGAGGTTTGCTGTTTATATAAGGGGTAAAAAACTGATGGGTACTAACACTTGGCATATGAAAATCCTAGTTTTCAATCGCCTGTATCATGTGACCAAAAGAGTTGTCTTTCTTGCTGTATCGTTTAAATAAGGGCAAGTATAAAATTTAAATAATAATTTTAATAAGGGCAAGTATGCAGACTATTCCCTTGATGTAGACTATTCTGTATGAACTACACCAGGAGTAGGCAACCTTGGCTCTTTTATAACTTGTGGACTTCAACTCCCAGCATGTCTGGCTCAGGAATTCTGGGAGTTGAAGTCCACGAGTCATAAAAGAGCCAAGGTTGCCTACCCCTGAACTATACAAATAGAAATAGCACTATCATGTAATGATATAGAACAGTGAAATCTTCTTAAATTTCAATTTTAATAATAGTTCTCTAAAGTTCATAAAGAAATCATACCAAAGAACTTTTTCATATGAATTCTACAGCTTTTAAACATATTATTCCTGAAAGCTTTTAAGACTTATTTGTGATCAAAATTATTTTTCATGGAATTTGCTTTAGTTTGTTGCCATGACTGTTTATCTCCAATTTCTGTCAGATGAAACAGAATATGAATATAGTGGAAGTGAAGAGGAGGAGGAGGAAGTGCCTGAACAAGAAGGAGAACCAAGGTAATGTAATCTTGGTATTGGGCTAGGAACCATATTATGACTATCTCTGTGAATGAGATGGGTGGTATCTAAATTTGATAAATAAATAGGTAAATATCTCAAGGAGCCTTTGACAATCTGGTATTCAGATATCTTACACCTTAACTCATAATCTGAGCCAATATTCTGAAGTATCTGGAGGTATTTGTAGAAGCTGTTTTAGGGCTAGAGCAGAGAGAGTGATTAAGTAAAATATAGAATAGCAGTATACAATAATACTATTTACGTTCTTCAATATCTATAATGCAATCTTCTCTATAAAAATAGAAATAGCCATTGCTTAACAATTGGTCATTTTATGACTCGTCAAAGTCACAGTGGCCACAGATCGGGTGTTTTGTAGCCATTGTAATTGGTCCCTCTCATGTGATATCACATAGGTCGGCATTATGACTGGTAGTGTGTTGTGTTAGGATGTTTTTTGCTGGTTCATTCAAATGCTCAAATGAATGGGTTTGCTTAATGATTGCCAGGTTTGCTTAACAACTGCTGCAAAAAGGGCTGGAAAATTACTTGGATGCTTTGACTTAATGACCACATAATTATGAGTGTAATTCTAGGCTCAATTACAATCATAACTCACAGATTACATGTATGTAAAATATTTGTTATTGTTCAAGTGTAAGGAAGTAAAATAAATATTTGATTGCTCAGCAGGAAGATGTTGACTGCTCAGACTTTGTATACGTCTTGAGAACTTACCTTGAGGCATACTATAAGTTACTCAAAACACAGAATTGCCTGATACTACATAATCAATAGAGGTAGTCCTTGACTTACAACAGTTCATTTAGTGTGTTCAAAGTTACAATGGCACTGAAAATGACATGACCATTTTTCACATTTTTGACTACTGCCATGTGATCAAAATTCAGACTCTTAGGAACTGGTTCATATTTATGACGGTTGCAGTGTCCCAGGGCCATGCGATCACTTTTTGTGACCACCTGACAAGCAAAGTCAATGGAGGCCAGATTAATTTAACAACAGTGTTACTAATTTAATAACTGCAGCGATTCACTTAACAACTGTGGCAAGAATGATCACAAAATGAGGCAAAACTCATTTAACCGTGGTGGTGCAATAGTTAGAATGCAGTACTGCAAGCTTCTTCTGCTGACTGCTGGCCACCAGCAGTTCGGCAGTTCGATTCTCATCAGCTCAAGGTTGACTCAGCCTTCCATCCTTCTGAGGTCAGTAAAATGAGGACCCATATTGTTGGGGGCAATAGGCTGACTCTGTAAAACCACTTAGAGAGGGCTGTAAAGCACTGTGAAGTGGTATATGAGTCTAAGTGCTGTTGCTATTGCTATTAATTGTGTTACTCAGCAATAGAAATTTTGGGTTCAATTGTGGTTGTAAGTTGAGGACTACCTGTACCTTTTAAATACTAAAATTCAGGCATTTTTTTGTAATCCTTTTATAAGTTTTTGAAAAAGTATCCAAATTTCTAAACAAAAATGAGGAGATTTTGTTTTCTGCTGATTTGACTCTCTGCTATTTCTCTGCCATGCTTCCAATAGCACAACTGTACTTCTACTGTTTGTAAGGAAAACACGGAAGATGTAAAAATAAAGAAGTTTCCAACCTTTGTTTAGTTACTTGCTTAGACCTTTTTTTTTCTCATGCAGTTCTATTGTTAATGTGCCTGGAGAATCTACCCTCAGACGTGACTTCCTGAGATTGCAGCAGGAAAACAAGGAGCGTTCTGAGGCTCTTCGGAGGCAACAGCTGCTACAGGAACAGCAGCTCCGTGAGCAGGAGGAATACAAGCGGCAGCTGCTGGCAGAAAGACAAAAGCGCATTGAACAGCAGAAAGAGCAGAGGAGGAGACTAGAAGAGGTAGAAATGGGTCAAGGTTGAAAAGGCACACTTTTTTTTAATTGCCTTTTGTTAAAGAGCCAAAGGGTTGAATTTAGAATCTATTAAATGACTACATGAAGACATCAGAATTTATCACTCACTGCCAGAATTCTTCAGTGGAGCAATAGTGTTTGGTATTAGAAACCTAAATTCCCATGCTGTAGATAGAGTACTACATGAGCTAATAAAATTAGTCATGTAATAACAATAATCACAGATTTTAAAAAATCCCTATATAGCATAGCGGCTGGATTATTCATTAAAAAAAACCTTGTAGTAGTCTTGCATAAATAGGCTGAAAACAAACAAACAGTAGTGTCCCATTATCTGCTTTTCCTGCAGATTCCTCATTTGCTAATGTTGCTATCCAGTTGTTACTGAACTAAATACTACAGGAACAAATTCAAATATAAATTTGATTAATTAAAAAATGCTGCTGATGCTATTTTAGCATTTTTAATCAGAGTACTTAAAACATTTGAATATGCCCTTATTTTTAAACTGACTGTGGAGATTAAAGGTCTGATATTATTTTGGTCCATTTGAAGTATTACAGTCTCAGTCTAAATAAATCCAGGTTTATTTTAAGAAGGATCCCTTCCTGGCCTTTCAGCACCAAGTATAAGTAGAAAAATATACATACTATTTAAATCATAATTTTAGTGACTTCAGGGTTTATTAAAATAAAACACAAATACATGCTTGCATCCACATACAATGGTGCTTTATAGATGTATGTATACTGCTATAAAATATGTCTAGATTTGCTTACCAGCATATCTGGATTTTAATGTCACAGACTGCATCTTATTCTTCTTGCTGTTATCCATAATAGAAGAACATAATCCATAAATAGAATGCTTTCTTTCGTGTGTACATAATTCCAATGGTATCTGTAATATACTGATTTTATGGTCAGCCTTCAGTCTTTAGAAGAGTTTGTGTGCATTTTGAAACAGTGAATATCATAAGCCATTGGTTCTCAACCTTTTCTTCACTCTGGAGCCCCTTTAAATACCTTTTGTGGCCTCGGACCACTAAGACTTAATTCAAGATTTAAATCATAACATTTTTCAAGCCTTTGCAGACCCCCTGTGATGACATCGTGGCCCCCAGTGGTCTGTGGACCACAGGTTGAGAACCACTGTCGTAAGGCCTCCTGGGTAGAAGAGGTACATATATCCTTTAAAAATTTGACATGCCACTGTGTTAGAAAATCTTGACACTATATTATAAACAATTATGAGATGATGTTGCAATCTAGGAGCCCAACTTATGTTTAGCCCCAGTATTAGGTTGACTAAGAAAGATTCTTTATTGAAAATGTTTACAGGTTAGGGTTAGGGTTACCTAACCTAAAACAGATCATTCAGAAGAAGAAGAGTTTTTCATGGTTAATTGCCAAAACTATAAACTAAGCTTGGGATAGTTTAATCAATGCCTTACAGCAGAGAAATAGAATATTCTACTGCTGAAATTTTGTGTATTACATACCACTTTCTTAATTAGAATACAGTTATTTCTTTATTATCCAAACTAAGCTCAGACTCTACAAACAGGACCAGATTACATGGGTGTTTAATTATTCCTTTTCTATCAGCAAACTCCTTTCCGTGAATTGATTTTCTGAGCAACAATTATATCAGTAATATTAAAAATGATGTACCATCTAGAGCAGGGGTCCCCAATCCGCGGTCTGTGGACCAGTACCAGGCTGTGGCATGCCAGCAACTGGTCGGCACAAACAAGCAAAGCCCTATCTGTGGGATGCAAGCAGCACACAAAATCATGCACCCTCCAGTGTGCAGAAAAACCTCTCTTCACGGAACCGGTCCCTGGTGCCCAAAAGGTTGGGGACCTCTGATCTAGGGTTAAATTGCTTGAAGAAAAAGGTCATGAATAGGAAACTGGAAAAAAAATCAAGGCATTTGAGGTCTCTTCCTTAAATAGCCTTTTGTATTGCTTAACCAAGTTTTGGAAAACACTACAATGGAATCATAAACATTTTTTAATGAAAATTCCATTATAGTACTTTTTCAATGGGTCTCTAGTTACCTTTATGATTCAAGAGTATTTGCATGGGATTTTCCATTTGATGTTGTATGTTGTATAGCACAGGGCTTGAAAGAGAGAGGGAGGGAGAAAGAAAGAGAGAGAGGGAAAGAGAAAGGGAGAGAGAAAGAAAGAGAGGGAGAGAGAGAAAGAAATAAGAGAGAGAGATTAAATTAGTAACATGGCTGTTCAGTGAATCTGGTTTCCCCACTAACTTTGCTTGTCACAAGGTTGCAAAGGGTGATCACATGACCCTGGAATAATGTGACCATCATAAATAAGAATCGGTTGCCAAGCATCCGAATGTAAATCACATGACCCTGAGTCCCTTAGGATAATAAAACATACCTACATGAAACTGTTATAATATGCTCCTAAAGCTATGGCAAATCTAGACAGCATACTAAAAAGCAGAGACATCACCCTGCCAACAAAAGTACGTATAGTCAAGGCCATGGTTTTCCCAGTTGCAATGTATGACTGTGAAAGTTGGAAAGGCTGAGTGCAAAAGAATTGAGGCCTTTGAACTATGGTGCTGGAGAAGATTCCTGCGAGTCCCCTAGACTGCAAGGCAATCAAACCGATCAGTCCTAGAGGAGATCAACTCTGACTGCTCTTTAGAAGGCCAGATCCTGAAGTTGAGACTCAAGTACTTTGGCCACCTAATGAGATGGAAGGACTCACTGGAGAAGAGCCTAATGCTGGGAAAGACAGAGGGCAATAGAAGAAGGGGACAAAAAATTATAGGCATTTGTTTTGAATCCTGGGTCTCTTTAGGAAATAGACAGTAGAATTGAACACATGCTTCCATTCTCAGTGCAATCAAATCTATCTCTATGGGATTGGGAGAATACAATTATTACTGTTAAAAAGACCTCTTGAAAAATTATTGTATGAATCATTAATTCAGTTTTAGAGGATAGAAGCTTTCATCAAATTAAATGCAAATTTCACAAGCTTGATATCTCTTTTTAAAAGAAGGATAATTTCCTAGTAATCATATTGCTTACTAAGTGGAGGATATTTCTGCTGAAGGAAAATGTTACATTTGAAAAAGGCCATTAATAAAGCTATACAGAAATATTTAAATTGTTAGATAAATTGTTAGATAAAATTGTTAGATAAATTTGAAGAAACACAAAAGATTCTAAAAGATTCTCTTTATTAAATGACCAACATTGGTCTATCCACCCAGCCATCAATTCATTTATCTACCTACCAATAAACACACACAACTTCTATCTATAAAACACCATTAACATTCACTTTGGTTAACAATCTCAAACTTGACAGATAGAAGTTGTGTGTGTTTATTGGTAGGTAGATAAATGAATTGATGGCCTGGTGGATAGACCAATGTTGGTCATTTAATAAAGAGAATCTTTTAGAATTAAATACAGGGAGCTCATATAATAGGATTGGGGTTAATTAAGTTTTTATAAAAAACACTGTAAATTGGATACTGGTCAGTATGTAAACCTGGATTTATGAAGCAGTAACTGATAGTAGGACCTTTGGATCGATTTAATTAAAAACAGGGTTTGTTGGTTTGTTTTTTAAAAAGGACTGTTAATGAAAAGGATTATATTTTCAGAGAATTTGTATGTTTTCTTTTACTCAAGCTCTTCAGTAATTTTCCTTTCAATTTTAAGTGTTATGTATCTGATTCTTGAAAGTAGAAAAACTCCATGGGCTCTGGAGATTACATGCTTGCACAGTTATTCCTATTGCAGCAACTTCCAGTCCCAAATGGAGCACCTCATAACTCTGGTTCAAAGTTGGTCCAATGAATTATAATGCTGGCATATCTGTGAGTGTGTGGTAACAAAAATCTCTGGAAAATGTTTCCTTATTTTCCTGAGAAAGAGCAACATCTCTTCATTTAGCGTTTGGATGTGCTCATTTAACAGAAGGATTTAATAGAATAACAGAGTTGGAAGGGACCTTGGAGATCTTCTAATCCAACTCCCTGCTCAAGCAGGAGACCCTATACCACTCCAGACAAGTGCTATCGAGTCTCTTCTTAAAAGTCTCCAGTGATGGAGCACCCAGAACTTCTGAAGGCAAGTCATTCTAGTGATTAATTGTTCTCAGTGTTAGAAAAATTCTCTTTACTTCTAGGTTGTTTCTCTCCTTGATTAGTTTCCATCCATTGTTTCTTGGCTTGCCTTCTAGTGCTTTGGAAAATAGGTTGACCCACTCTTTTTTGTCGCAACCCGTCAAATATTGGAACAGTGCTATCCTGTCCCTCCAGTCCTTCTTTTCACTACATTAGACATACTCAATCCCTGCAACCGTTCTTCATTTGCTTTAGCCTCCAGCACTCTTAATCATCTTTGTTGCTCTTTTGTGCACTCATCTTGACTGTTGTTTCACGTGCTCAGGCAGAGCCACAGAATTAATACTTGTACATATGATACCCTCTCAGGTCTCATTCCTCAGCATGTCGATTTGTTGGCCATGCCAGAAAAGCCACCAAGTTGGGGCTGATCACTGTCTTTCCTTTCTAAATGCAAGAAAATGTTGCTTACATATATCATTGTATAAAAAGATTATATAAATCCATAATCATCTAGAGCAACTTTGGGAGTTTTCTAAAACTATTCAAAGTTGATAATTCCATTGTCATCTTCCCTTAATTGGCAATGCAGAGCTACTGCTCTTTAACCTCATAAAGCAGTTCAATAAAGGTATATCAGATTTTCTTTCAAAGTAAAAAACATCCACGAAGTGACATCTTATAACTAAGAAGTAACTATATTGGGTAGTTTTATAATTCTAATAATGTGCTCAATATAGGCACAGTCCTCAGGCAAAGTCACTGGATTTCATATCCTTCTATTTCTCTTATCAAGCTACTTAAGCAGTGATTGTGATGCTCAAGTACCATCCTTTCCATCTTGGGACAAAGGCTTCTACATTGCTTT